TTTTTATAAATAATTGTTTTATTGTCAATATCACTTGCTTGTTTAATTGCGCATGATTATAAAATTAGTACTAGTTACTGCGCACCCACAGTTGCTGCGCGGGTATCTCCCATAAAGTTTTCATGTTGCAGCCCAGACCCGATCACTACAACTAAAAAGTTTTGTAGGTTCAATTTGTTTATAGTAATTTAGTCAAGCAATTACGTATGTCATGATGTAAAGTATAATTCCAGGTTGAACGTTATTAAAGTCTAAACTAATTATGTTTGAGCAGACGAATTTTCGAGTCTTTTTTTCTTAATCCGTATTACTGCGACGAGAACGCAGCAAGTAGTGCTTGCGCAGTAATTGGGTCATTTACCCCTGTTTACTTCCAATTTTATAAGCAAAATTAGCTTAAAAAAAACTTTTACCTATTGTACTACAAAAGAAGTCTACAAAATATCATATAAATTAGTCTTACCAAGATTTTCTGTCTAGAAATAACTATGTGTTTTGTAGTCATATAATGGCTGTGTAGGGAGCTTAAGGAGGCTCTCCACCTTTGAAAAAAATGACTTATAGTCTTCACATTTTAAAGTTTTACAAATGAGGTCATTATGAATCTACATTTGTTATATGAGCACTGGTTACTATACAAATGTTCAAATAAATCAATATCAAACTTTGAAACTTTAACACAGGCCTTATGAAAAGAGTCACTTGCATGACCCTAAATTGCACGTTTTGTTTGCGAGGAAATGACTTTGACTACAGAAAAACTACAGGCTTATAGTTTTAGGTATTCTCTTTGCAATAAGCCTTTTAAATAAACACCTTACCATTGTATAATTGATGTTATAACGTTTTAAAAGACTGATTGGTAATCGCTAGTCATGTGAGTGTATGTAACTGCAAGTTCTACATTTGACTAGGGTAGTAGGTGGAGAGCCTCCCTAACTGCTTGCAGATCTTGATGGCTCAGAAAATTATACTTGAGAGAAAATAATTATAATAATTAAAATGAGTTTTTTTTTGGTGGGAAATGTACTCCTTCGTGAAAATAGAGCTTTCTACGCTCTCCCCTGCCGCTGCCATGCAAACCTCATGTCTCTCGCAAAGTAAAGGAAAACTCAATCGCTGTCTTTGTCCTTTTAATCAAGTGCAATCGTATGCATGGGGCCCGCTGAGCTCCCAACTCAATTTTTAAAGCTTGCTGTAAAATAAAGGAAAATTCACAGGTTTGTTTATTAAGGAGACCAGCGGGAGAAGTTGAAAGGTCAGATGTAGTTTTATTAATGGATGAGAACCCGCTGATTCCTGTGGTGTCTTTGTTTACCCTTCTCACCATGGAAAACTTTCAGATATTTGGTCTCTAAATCCGCACACCGTACACAACTTGAGCAGCATGAAAACATTGTAATTTTTAAAGCCATATTCAAAGAAGATTGGCCCTCCGGCGGCTTCACTTGGCTCGTTTTGCAGAGAATGCAGATACTCGCGACTCTAGTCCCTATCCAAAATATCAGTGATGAATCAACTCTGAAATCAGTCGTTAATTACATCGTTGATTCTGCGTTTATTCTATGTTGAATCAATGCTGATTTAGCGTTGAATCAACGTTGACTTATTATTAACTGGAGCAAATGTTGTTGTAACAGTTTGTAAGCTTTAAAATAATTTTAATTGCAAACTGCAATGCTAACATGAAAAATGTACTGTTTTGAAGTTAATTACTATTAATGGTTTTAACAAACGCTGATTCACTGCTGAATCAGCATTGATTCAACATGGAATAAACTCAGAATCAACGATGTAGTTTGTGACTGATTTCAGCGCTGATATTTTTTATAGGGGTGCGACAAAAATGATCTCGCAGTCCCCGGACAAGGTTCCAATGTGTGGCTTGATCCAATTTTGGCAATTCAGCAGTACCAGGATGCGGGATCGCCTTCAGAGACTCACCTATAAAAAGGGTCTGGGTGTCAGAGCCTCGAGATCATTCAAGTCGCCACACAATGGCACCATTGGACGACAGTTAAGTGTCATTCCTGTCTTCATAAGTAGTGTGCTAAACTCTTTGTAGGTGAGTTTGTAGGGTCTAATGATCTGTCGAAGGTGAGCCTTCGCAGACTTCACTCTAGCCGCCCAAAGCCCTCCAAAGTGAGGAGCGGATGGTAGAATAAAGCACCAAGTTATACTTTTCTTAGCGAAATATTCATGCACGCAGTTCCAATCCAACTTAGCCTCATGGTGGAGACGATTCAGCTCGTGATTTGCACCCTGGCAGTTGGTGCCATTATCGCTCCAGAACCCTGAGAAAGTTCTTCGTTGAGAGATCTCCTTAGGCTTCGAGGTGTGCGATCTTAGTGCTGAAGCAAACAAAGACGGCGGTGTAGCCTTTCACGGTGACGAGACCTCGCTCCTTAGAGTAAAGGAGAGCAAATGGTCCCACATAGTAGATGCCGCAGATACTAAATGGTCGTGATGGGGTGACTTGTTGGGCTGAAAAGGCTTTCATTGCTTGGGACCCTGGACGGGCGCTGAGCCGTGAGTATACGACTCGCCGGCGTAGAACAGAATGGACACGCGACCGTCCTACAACGATCCAAGCGCACTGGAGGACACTTGCGTAGGTCGACCAAAGGCCTCCGTGCAAACACTTTGTGTACGCCCACTCTATTATCAATTGAGCGAGGTGACTCTGTCTATCGACTATGAGAGGGTGCTTTTCGTCGTTGGTAAGGTAAAACGGGGTATAGTGGGACACTTTTTTTAAGTAAAAAATATTCATTTCTTAATTTTAAAGTTCCACCGATGCTAATTCACCAAAACTTTTTTTTAAATTGGAAATATAGGTCTTTACTGTAGGAAACAATAGTTAATGACTGTATTTATCATTATCCTTTTAATTAAATAATTTTTCAAATGAGTCGTGAAATCTGCAGTAGTGGGACATAGTCTTTAAGGATTACGGCAGTAGTAGGACACTGTATATGATAGTAGTGCTACGGTATATGACAATATTATTTGCATGTGTAAGAACACAATTTTTATTTAAAAAAGATAAATTATTACGTTTGAGGGTATACAAATTTTAAAAATAATAGATTAATAGGGACTGCTTTTTATATATATCTTTTTTCAATGATATAACAAAATTTCTTCTTACTATGTCCGTTAATAATAAAGAAAAAAACATTGTATAATATAACAAACTAAATGGTATAATTATTTATAATACAAACTATGGAAATAATAATAGTAAACACAGGTTTTAAACAAACCTTAGTTTCTAAGGTTTAAAAACTTTTATTTTTTTATTTTTATTTTGCTCTGCAATAATTGAACTTAACACGCAGTTTATGCTTTTTCATTGTCTTCTTATTTAGATGAACATTTTTCTATTTCCTGTACTGCTAAGTCATGATTCTTATTCCGAATTTCTTATTTTAAAATTTTTTTTTAATTTTCAATTTTGAAGTTAATTTCTTTTTTTGTTCCTAACAGTTTTTTTTAACTTTCTTAAAACTTCTTTTTTTAATTTATTTCATACTTTAGAGCATTTTTTTCTCTTCTTTTTCTTGTTTATTAATTATTACCTGCTGCTATTTCAATGATTTCTCTTTTTCTTTTTTTTCTAAGTAAAGTATAATCATTAATAACCGCCACGGGTCGGTTTTCCTTAGCTGCTTCTTTTTTGATCTCAAAATTAAGATTGAGTACAGAAAATATATATTTCAAAGAATAATTATTTGATTTTTTTGTGGAGATAAGAAGAAAATTTTAAAGGCTGAAATACCAAATAGAAATATAATGTGAGTAAACAAATACCTGTATTTTTTTGTTGACAATTTTCAGAGGCATTGATTTTTTTCATAGTTTTTTTTTTTTTTTTTTTTTTTCTTCAATATGAGTGTTATGAAAATTAATTATTGATAATATCTATCATTTTCTGCAAAATTGTTTTTTTTTACTTTGGGTAGGATGCATTAATACAGATTTCATTGAGGTTAGGTATCGGATTATGTCTATTTACCTGGTACTAATGCTTTCATTCATTTAACTACTAATCCTACAAGTATATTTGAGTTTAATTTTAATATTAAAAATCAGACTGATGACACTCGCACGATTACTATTGTAAAAAGCATGAAATCACAGCCATTAAAAACAGAATTTGGTCTTGCCAAGTACTTGTCCCACTACTACTTAGTTTTTAAAAAAGTGGATGCAGTAGTGGAGCAGCAACGATAAGCCTCGTCCCACTTCCACATGGTGTTTGCAGAAAATAAGGGTATACTAGGACATACTATATTTTATGACAAAGTAATTATTTTTAAGATCTCATTAATAAAACTTGTTCTTTACTGTCATATTATTACGTATAAATAGTTTAAACGTACCAAAAAAATTTATTTTCGATACATGATCTTCATAATTAACTTTAGTGTCACACCTAAAATGGGCGAAACGCCTCATTTAAGACATATGCTTCAAACAAGTGCTTGGACAGCTAGATAAAATATTTTTTTTATTTTCTCTTGAATGTTTACCACAAAAAATTTTTTGGAGTTTTATCTAGCTAAGAGATAAAGAAATATTAGGAAATTCTTTTTAAGGGCATTTTTTGACAAATGAAATTACCAGTTATGATTTTCTCTTCCTGTCCCACTATACCCTGCAATTCTTGCGTTGTCCCACTATACCCCATTTTACCTTAAGCAACGAGTGACACAAACGACCTCCAACTTGCAAGCAACCGTCCTCATCAATTATAGGTTGCAGGGAGCGGAGGCGGCTGT